GAATATTACGATATATATGAATCGCTTTAGTATAAAACAAAGTAATAGTAATTTGGTACATTGATTTTTATAGATATGTTCTACCGATTACATTTGGTAAATACATTTATCTTTCATATACTACATAGTACGCACGTGCTGGTTACCACTAACATTACCAAGACGCATCATTTATATCCAGTGACATTGTAGCATTACGACGGCATGATATAAAAATAGCGATCGCAGATGCAACACATAAAACAACAGCCAACGACACAGCAATGGTGGCTACAATGAGTTGCCTGCTAAACAAAGATTCCCCAGGAGCAGAGGCTTCAGTTGGATACTCAGTTGGTGATGTTACCATTGTCTGGATTGGGGTTGTCGAAGTAGATGTTGGTTCTATGAATACACTTGTCCCCGGGTACAGTTCATTTGTAACCAAAGAATGTGTAGGCGTCACTTCAGCAGAGAAGGATGTCGTCATCGACTGTGGTGAGCTTTCCAATTCAAATGAGGTCATGGAATGTATATCTAATGCAGGTGTCACTACTTGGGTTGGCGATGACTGGATGATTGTGCGTGTACGAGCCTCTTCAATGGTATCACTTGATAATGACAGCAGAAAAGACGAACTTGTTGACAGTGACCCGGTAGTTTGAGAGGACAACGGTACGGTATACTCCGATGACTGCAACTCGATTACAAAAGCCGATGGTGTTGACAGTAAAGCAGGCTGCGATTGTGTTGGTCTACCCGAGGACGCCACAATAGCGGATTCGGTTGTTGACATGAATGCTCTGGACATGCTTATGCTCGTCGGAGAGATAGACTGAGAAGGCAACACAGGAGCAGATGATGTCGTGGCCATTATTGACGTCGTTGCGATATGATCCACTATGTACACAATTACAAATGCTATGCCAGTTTTCGCAGGTACACCATGGTCAGTGGCAGCTATTTTAAAAGTATAGGGAGAGACGGCTTTGTCCAATTCAGAGATGTTTCTCGTACTTGATATGTTCCCTGACATTGCGTCTATTGAGAATGGTAAAGTGCCATTGAACTCATCTATGAAATAGAAATAGTCACCAGCGTCACCCTCATCATCATCCAAAGCCTCTGTGTGTAGTATCATAGTATTTGCGAGTGTGTTCACTGAAATACTGACCGTATACATACCATCACTGAAAGCAGGAGCATTTCTATTCACTGGCCCCAAGACCACAGTGTAGTTTATCTTTGATGTGTCGTTTTGAATATAATCCAACAGATGAAGTAACGATGTATTATGGTCAGCTTGCGAAGTCCAAACATTATATTCATACTTGAGTTCAGCCCCGCCATCACCTTCGGCAAAAGCAACCGGGTAACCGTTGAGCTCCACGGGAAGATACACCTGTGTGTACGTCCAGTTAGCTGTATTGGGTACATCGATTGATATAATTACATATCGGTAACTATTCACCTCCCTCTTAGATCGGGAATAGTCTTCACCAAATGACAAGTTCGATGGCACAAAAGACACCACATGTTTCTCCCCGTTTTTACTGCTGTACAAGTGGTCTGGTATGGACATTTGATCTTTAACATCATTAACAAGGAAGTCTCCAACATCATCATCATCGAACATGCCAGGTTTATTCATGTGAACGACATGTATAAGTTCGTGAGTTTCTTCAAGATGTAAAAGCGAAATTTCAGGATTGCCATAAGCATTGGTGTGCTGGAAGGTCGCCGAAAAATTCGAAAACGTTCCTGTCATGGTTGCCGCCAGCGACCACCATATCGTCCTCGTCTCTAGCCTATCGATGGTTCCGACATCAACTGACAAGGAAGGAACTCTTCCAATATTTCCAAGCTGCGACGATAGTATTTGAAAATTGATAAGATCTCCATTTTCATTCCTAATTTGAGGCTGTCCAGAAACCAGTTTAAACTGTTCTGCAACCCCATTTCCTTTATTTGTAATCATAACGACCAAGGGAAAGGGAACCGCCTTTTCTATGGCCGCATCAGTCAATGGTTCGTCTGAATATACAGTATTTTTGTAAAAATAGTGTACATGGAGTTGAATAGATGGTTTTACGGTGATAGCGTTATGAAGTAATGTAGCAGTGATTGTGGCATTGCCTACTGCATAAGACAAACTGCCACCAACGTCATACAACACCTCTTCATTCCACGCTGCTGAATGTTGTGCAACTATTGTCCATTCGGCAAGCCCAGAAACATTATATTTCACAACACCATTTCCATCGACAGATGTTATCTCAACAAGATTTGGCTTACCTATTTTGAGAAAATACAAAACATCTCAATAATTATAGTTCAAATAAAGTACATTACCATATAGATATACAAAATTAAATTCTAATTGTCCATAATACGAGCTTGTGTCATTCTGTAATGTGTTCGCTATGTTTTTCCACATGCGCGTTCAACAGAAACAATAATACTTGCATCCTACACATGCATTTGTGAGATCCTACTAAAATTGCAAACA